GCCTGGCTCCAGTTCAAGAAGGGCCCCACCCTGGGCATCTGAGACCACTGAAGACTCAACCCTCATCTGCGCCTTCAGAATCATTTTCCTTGGCCAGGAGTGGGTCATGTACCGTGCGGAAGCGAAAAATGAATTTGTCATATTTGCCATAGCTGTGGAAGATGTTCTACCTTGTTGTAGGAACCATCAGAGGATTGGTGGTGGACGTGAGCAGGCTTGGACTACAACCATGTGTGGTGTTAAGTGTTGTTTCTAAACTGCAGGTATGTTGCCACAATTCTGGCCTCAAATCTTGTCGGGATATGTTGCATGGCTGGCCGTGTAGAACGCTCTCCGCAGCTGCCACGCTCCACCGAGCTCCGTACACCAGTTACCAGCAAGAAGCCTTTGCCGGGCTGCACAACCGACACTCTCGCACAGATATGTCAGTACATTCGCACATAACATGCACACGCCGACTAACTAACACACCTACATGAGTGCCTAAGCGCATGCACGCGCACTTGCAGCACACATTCGCTCATAGATACGTGCGTTCAGGCAGACAGCGGACGTACAGACGCACGGACAGAAATTTCATACTACACACGCTGCAGAAGCAATCCAGCAACAGACTCCCACTGAGAACAATCCTAGCCTGGTGCGGTCCGGATGCCTTCCAGAGATGACCAGCTGGAAATGGCGGGCTCCAGCTTCGCGGATGGCGCTGTTTTTCCGTGCCGGCCTTGTGAAGAGGGTTGCCTTGTGAAATCGACGTGGCGATTGCCAGGTCCATCGTTGCGCCGCCATCTTCCCTCGTGTGAAGCTCAGTCGACCATGGCCATGGGCCTCCTCCGCGGGAGCGGACAGCGCCCGCGTGTCTGCTTTTGATGCTCAGGTTGCGAGCCCCCGCCTCGCGAGATTTTCACCGGGAGAGACGGCGGGATGTTCCGATCCGCTTCAGGCTGCTGCATCCGCAACGTGGCAGCGACAGGAGGCATTGAGCCCAGCGCTATGCCTGCAAGCGATGCAAACTGACCGCGGCAGTAACCCAGATCTTGTTCAGGTGCAATCGGTTTTATACCAAGTCGCAGAGACGGGCAGTCTAGAGGCATGGCTGTCGCAGAGACGTGTTTACTGTTTACTCGTGCGGGCTCTCACCGTTCTCGCGTCTCAGGAGGAGCTCCTCTGGCGGCTGATCCCTGACGGCGCTGTCAGGAAAAGGGGCCTTCTGCAGGCCGAAACCATGGAGCGCTCCGCTATAGGGCCGCTAGCTAGGGCGCTCTTCTCTTTGCACCCCTGCCCTGAGCTCGGAGGCGGAGGCCGAGCCGGAAACGGAGCAGGTGCCCGAAGATTCGCTCGAGGCGAAGAGCCAGTCCCCCTTGCAGCACGGTACGGTGCGGCACGGAGCTACGCGCTTTTGAGGCGGAGGCGGCGGAAGGGCCGGCGCTGAGCACTGCGGAGACTCTGGAGGAGGCCCAGGCCGAGGCCGAGGACCCAGCGAAGACGATCGCGACTGCGAAGTGTTGGCATCTGCTGGGAGGCGCCGGCAGTTCACGCGGCCGAGACCCTCCTCCTGGCCACGGTGGGCTTGGCGGCTTTTGAAGTGCGAAGCGCTTGGAGGGCTGAGGAGCGCGGTGTGCCAGGCCGAGCTGTGCCGTGGCTTCAACTTGCGAGACCTCCCAGCTCTCGCGAAGCTCGGGGACCGGCTGACGGCTCTCCAGGCGCCAGAGAGAGCCTGAGAGCCTGAGAGCTTAGGCCCCGGCCCCATGGGGCCCTGTGCCCTCTCTGCAGAGGTGCCCGGAAGCGAGCTGCTCCGAGCTGGCGTGGCTTTCTCGGATCTGGGCGTGCTACACCCGCCCATCTTTCAGAGCATGGCCAAGGCCATGCAAGGCAGTGTTTTTGTGGATTTAACTTCGACTGCATCCCTATTCTCACGCTAAATGGCTTCAGCAAGGCGTTGCTCAGCGAATGGCCGGATCCCTTCTCAGCCTCCGATGCCGCGCAGCTGGCCCGAGTGGCTTGGTTCCACGGAGACGGTCCGCACGGACGAGTAGGACTGGACGTTGACGCCGTTTCTGAGCTGCTCTGAGGTCTTCGCTGTGCAGAGGTTCCGCCAGGAGGAGATCTTCGCCCGAATCGCCGTCTGCCTCCGTGGAGGCGAGGCTTCCATGTGCCGCCTGAGCTCCCTTTTGAAAGAACTCTGCTCTCTCGCGGCAGGTGTGGAAGCCTTGCCGCCAGTTTGCAGAAGCGGAGGGAGCCGTTGATTGTAAGCTTGATGAAGTTGCGGTTGAGGGTGATGGAGTGTTGTTGGTGACAATGGAGTAATGGGATGGTGAAGGAGATGGGGCCTGATACATCGGATCCTGAAGACGCATTCGTACACTCTGGGGCACATCGTCTAGATAATCATGTGTCGACCAATGGGCAGGGGGACACTTGGGACAGTGTAACTTACTGAGTCCCAGCCTGCATGCCTGCACGCTGCAACAGACAAGTGCTTGAAGTACTTAGATCTCTGAAGTTTGTCCGAAACCATAAGGTACTCCTACTCGTGAGCTTAGGTTCCCAACACTCCCCACTACCCCGAGATCCCCATGACCCTTTCACAACGATGCACAATCTTCGCTATGCTCTTCATAAGTGCTTGAGCCACGTTCAAGTGGTCATTGGTTCACGGAAGCAAGTGCGTGTTGACCTGGCGCAGGGGCCATGCACTCATACTACACGCATGCTCACAAACACTCCTCCGCATGGGCGCTGCGCTGGACTATTCCTGTGGCACTTGCCCTCGGAAGAGTACTGAAACATGTGAAGGGTCAAAACTGTTGTATGAGGTCTTTGAACACTCTGGTATGAGGCTGAGATAGCCGAGCAGAACGCAACTTCGTCTTAGACAGGAGCTTGGGCAGTCCATCATCCGAATGAACGTAGCAGACATTCAGGTACGCGGTTCTCATGGCGAAATGTCGTGTGCGCATGGCCGCACTGAAGAATCACCGTCTTATACATAATGTTCGTGATGGCGGCCAGTGTTGTCTCCGGGAAGTGTGAGATTGATTCGCCATGCAAAGCTTCAAAGATCCCCAATACACACACTCCCTCGATCAAACCAAGACTCATCACTTCTAGTTTGGCTTCACATGCTGACCACGCGCACAGAGGCTGCCCGTGGGATTTCCATCCAAGCATGGTGCCATCGAGTGTTACAAGGATGCCGCTTCGGGAACGAGCGCCACCTACTGCAAGCGAAGCATTTGTCCACATCGTCATATCAAGCGAAGCTGCATCATTCCACTTGTATAGCAGACGTTCGCCACACGTCCTTCAGAAATCCTTCACAAGTAGCGCCAAATGGATTTTGCTTGTTGCAATGCCATCGTCGGGTTTGTAGTTGATTTACGTGCTGTGGATCCTACTGCTGCTGCTGCTGCCAAATCGGGCCTCGATCTGAGTACGATCCATAGCAAAGCTCCGCATTCCTTTCGGCACTGAGATGGACCAGATCCGATCCGGGTATAGGACTCGTCCCGTGATTCGGGTTTCACCGCTCCTTCCGCACATTGCTGGAGACTTGTAGCCCCTCGCAAATGCAACCATGCACGTGATCCACGTGCCTTCAGATGTATTTTTGTTACTGGATGACATACCCATCAGCGTTCATGCCGATCTGCATCCCCAAGGCTTGAAGTTCATGTACTGGCTCCAACGACACACTACCGGTCACTACCGGCAGCAGTTGAGCAACGACGTATTTCACATCCTGGTAGACAACCTTGTGTTTGGATCTTCCATTTCTGGACTACATCCACGTATGTGCATAACAAGCCTTGTAGAGCTCCCGTGTATGCGGATTTTATGGCCCATCGGCCTGCGGAAAGGTCAAGCGGATGCAACACTACCGTGAGCATCATTCGGTGCAGGGGCGAGTTGCATGTTATCCAGCGCGGCATCCCTTGGTCTGCCACTCGGTTGAGGACCACTTCAGACCGTATATCGCGCATCGTGCGACCCAGGTGGTACCCTAGGAAATATAGTCCCCAACTCCACCTTCAGTTTGGGTGGAATTATCAATGCAGCCAGTACTGAGAAGAGCGTGATGAAACCTGTTTCAACGACGAAGGCAGCCATTCCCCATGACCAGTGTCGCGCGGCCATGTCGACGAAGAGCCGGATGACCTCGGCAGGAACGTTGCTGCTTGTCCAGGGTTGGCCCTCGTCTGCTGTGGCTGCTTCATAATTTTCACACGCTGCGATGCAGGATTTTTCCTTCCACCCGTTGCCGAATGCATCCTGAGAGCATGCAGCGGCGCCGTCACCATCAGGGCATGTCAGCTGATCTAACAGTAACAAAGGCTTCAAAGTAGTCATGACCTTGGATGGAACGGCCTCTGCAAAGTTTCGATTCCGGCCAACCATGAGCTTTGTATCAAGTCTGAATGCTTGCAGTCTTCCAGAACCCCTCTCCATTTTGGCGTATTGTTTTTTGAATGACGCAATCCACTGGTCCTTCCTCGGTCCAGTCCTGAACACTGACATATCTTTCGTTATGGCCTGCGCGGGAGCTGCGCTTTCTTCGATCAAATCTTGCTCTACACGTTGGCATTCCTGCTCAGGCACGGAACTCAAGACATGATACTTTCTTACATCTGCGGCGACTGGCTGCAGCGACGCAGCTTGCAACATCGCCGTCATGTCCAACCAGATCGTCGTGAGCCAAGGTTCATAACTGAATCCGTCATTGCATGTGCCACCGTCCCGCCGTCACCAGCCTGATCACCAAGCAAGGGATCACCTTCGGCAGGTCCGTTGAGTCTTTCTTCCAACGTGGGCAGTTCGTTCATCGCCTCCGTACCGGCTTCCTTCACTCGAGCCCGAGACGACAGCCGAATAAATGTATCATCCAACTTGTGTAACCTGCACTTCTCTCAGGATGCTGCAGGCCTTTTGGGCTGTTTCGCCCGTTATTGATTTCAGTGGAGAATCTTTGTGCGACGAACTCCAAAGCGTTATCGCTGTGGAGTCGCACTACCGGAGGTTGATCCCCTCCCATATACATCAAATGGCTCAGTATCTGCTTTGTGGCTGTCAAGCTGGTATCCAGCTGCCGATTTTGCAGCAACTGGACTTGCGTGTTGAAAGATGAAGGCACCAATCGGAAGCCTCCGAAACCCACTTTATATTGACCAGTAACATCGATGGCGAGGGATCCCAGAGCAAAGTCTTCAGGTTTCACTTTGCGATGTGGATGTCGAAGTCGCTGAGCAGCTAACTGAGGAAGGGTTCTTTCGCAGATCCCGTCGTCATACAATTCTCTGGTGATTCTGCGCTCACTTCAGGAACCTCACCGAAATCAATAGACTGCTCGTCGTCAGATATTACAATTACAATTGTTTCTGCTGTCACAGGTCGGTCATGGCTTACTTTCACCAAAGTCCAATCTAATCTCCAACAACCCTCAGTCCGGACCAAGATCACGCGCAGCCTGAGCCTCGCGAACGTCATCCCAGTAATCCTGATGTCCAAACCCGAGGCTGCTGGCCTAGAGCTACAAATCAAATTCAGTATGCAAATTAATGGTAGCATCACCCAGTGATTGTGTCTTGAATTGAACACGATATCCGACGGCGGTTCGCATGTGTCTAAAACTGGCGTGTCCAACTGTATGCCTTGACGGTTCTACAACATGTGCTGGGATGTCCACTTGAGTCATTTGTTTCATCCGCACACCAGTGGCTTCGACGTGCGTTTCTGCTTCTGCTTGGTGTGTTGGGCGAGATGTTGCTTGCTCATAACCTGTTGGTTAATCCCTTCTCCCAAACGGCTCCCCCTCCCTAAGTTTAAAAACTGATTTCCGGGACCCGGGGGTTTGGTTTTTTTATTAGTCGGGTTTCGCTGCATCCGGGTATGGGTCCGATTGACAGGAATAGTGAGCCAGACACAAAGACCATCCATCACCGGCTGTAGCAAACAGTCAGCCCTAAGCCCTAAGCCCTAAAGCCCTAGAACCCTAAGCCCTAAGCCCTGAGCCCCAAACCTTAAGAAACCCTAAAGCTCTGGCCCTTTCGGTTTGATTAGTACTGCTGAAATCTTAGCTGTATTAAAACTAACTCAATCCTAGGCCCCCCTGATGCCAAATCCCCGGGCCGGGAGGTTTGTTATACTAGCGGGGTTGAATGTAAGGGGGAAGCGATTATGAGCTTGATGAAGTTTTGGTTGGGGTGATGGATTGTGACGCAATGGAGTCATGGGATGATGCCTGATACATCGGATGCTGAAGACGCCTTCGTATACGGTAGGGCGCATCGTCTAGATAATCATACGGCACTTCTTTCTACTGGGCCTCAAGTCCTTTTATCTTATCCCCCTGCCCTTTCCACTACCCCGAGATCCCCATGACCATTTCACAACGGCCGTCGGAGCCTTTCACAACGGTTCACAATCTTCGCTATGCTCTTCATAGGTGCTCGAGCCACCTTCAAGTGGCCCTTGGTGAACAGATACATGACATGCGCCTGGCGACTGAGTTGGGCCTGCCCTTCTGAGGTCACCGGAGGAAGCTCTCAGCCTGCTGCATTCCCATGCGTTTCTGCGCTTTTGGCCCTCCGAACACAGCGAGATGAGCGAGGAGAAGATGGCTGGTGCCCTCCATCCCACGGTTGCTCATATCTTATCTTGGCTTGAGGAGCTCTGGGGCGCTCTGGAGCTGCAAGCCCTGTCATCCGATTCCCCGCGCCCGGCCCCTCGTCCGCAGCGAATCCGAGCTGTTCGTGCCGAGCCGTGGTTCTGCCCCAGCCCAGGAGCTTTTGTTGAAGCTGTGCCAGATCCTCTTCCTCGCTCGACGAGACGAGGCCAACCTGCCAAAGGCGCGAGCGAATGCCTGCGAGGGGGCGGAAGCACGTCGAGGTGCACCTGAGCCTGAACCAAAGATCGAAGTTTCGCCTGCAGGTCCTGTCACTGCTGGAAAAAGCTTCTGCCCAACTCCTCCAGCGCTCTCCATGGAGACCTTCGCTTCGGCGGCGTGTGCTACTCCTCCGGAGTGCCCTGAGGTACTTACACCGCGAGGCCAGTGAGTTGAACGGTTTTGGGATGAGGATTCATGAGGTGGGTGCCCAGCCGGCGGTAGGCCTACACCCAGCTGCCCAAAGCCGTGCAGCTGATGTTCCGAAAAGCGCATCGTATGGAGCCTGAAGCGCCATCCAAGCATGTGGTTCTCTTTGTCCGGAAGCTCAGCGAAGCCCTGCGCCCAGAAGTGCAATGGACGGGGTGGGGCGTGGGACCTCACCTCATCGAAAGCTGAACGCACCGAGGCTTTGACAAAGTTGAAGATTGGCCATGTGGCCCAGGCAGTTCGCGGTCCTTTCACCTTCGACATCGTGGAGCGCGATCGCAAGATCATCTACGAGTGCAATCATTTCGATCGGTTCTACATGTCCTCGACGGAGAAGATTGCAGCCATGTGCTTGCAGGAGCTTTGTCCCGGGTTTCGTGCCGCATCAAGGTCTAGGTTTCGAAGCTCACAGGAGCGCATTGCGAAAGCCATGGGCTACCGAGTGATTCAGGTGCCGCACTGGCACTGGCTGCTCGCTTGACTGAACTGGTGGTGCTCCATGCTCTGCCCTTCGCAGTTTGCGCCCCGCTTGCCAAGGAACAAGATCAAGCACAGGCGTCAGCGGATCGAGTACATCCGCATGTCCAGGCAAGCGGAATAGCAGAAAGCGGGTCAGAACCCTACTCCTTCACTCGCAGAGGTACTACGCTCTGAAGGACCTCCGGGAACTGGCTCCCCGCGATGCCCCCGTGCGTGACCTGGCCGACGCTCGGCCAATCTCGGCCATCTATTATCATTCTGCGGATTTTGGGAAAAGGGGTTGGGTGATTTCCGCAATGGCAATTCATGCACAACATGTCCCAAAGGAGAACGAGTTGGACTACTTGGGTGAGTACTTCTTTAAGAAGGACAGGCCATCGTCACCTTGGTCCTGGTTTCAGCCACGTTACGATGCCAGCTGCATGGATGCATATTCATTCATCTGTACTCCACGTTTGCCGTTTGCCTGGTCTTGCGGTTGGCGGAGAGCTTTGTGCGCTCCAGCGTCCGAGGCAAGCGCATACCGGCCACAACTGGAACGCTGTAGAACCAAAGGGTAAGTGACTCGAGACTCTTGCTGCGCTGTTCATGAACCCGTCGCCACCAGGGAACAGCATTTCGGGCTGAACACGTGAGTGAAAGGATCAAGCGTGAGCCGTGCACAGGTAAGCTTGCAAGCCCTCATTGGATGGTCGTCGTAGTAGTCCCAGCAGAGTATGCTTCACAATGTGCCTGGGCTTAACTTTGAGCAAACGCAGCTGGAACTACACAAGGTCAACCTATACGTTTGGTAAGAGGGCCTGAACGGTGTACAGTATGGGACGCTGCATGCCACCACATGGTGGCGGTCACCCAGGCATGCTCACATTTTGTGATGTTTGGCGGTGTTGGTGAACACATCCGAGAGGTCTCGTCGATCAACAACTTCTTCGAGCTCTCAGCGGGCTCCCTTCGAATCTTCCAAAGGCGCGATGCAAGTGATGCAAGCATGATCCTCTGGAGCATTTCGGTAAGCAGCTGTTGCACAGGGCCGTGCAGCCGCCCCCCCAGCCCTTTGCTGCTTGTTTGTGAGCTTTCTGCTAGCAGCTGCACTTGTGTTTCCAGTCAGTCCAGCAGTTGTTCCTAGCAAGTTCCTAGAGGCTTTAACAGCCTGGCTGCAACCGGTAGCGGAAGCTGGTTTATCCAGGAAGGTAGGCGGAAGCGGCGTGCGTGAGCAGCAGTTCATCTCAGTAAACCGTTAGATGATCGCCGCTACAGGCAGCCCTCCCCCGCCACGCAAAGGTGCATCGCCAAACTGGGCAGGGATGCCGCGGTGATCTTCCGCCCAGAGGAGCTGGTGATCCATGGCCGTCCCGGCATGTTGGCAGCTTGGTGATTGCGTTGGTGCTTGTGGTTGGCTCTTGCCAAAGGTGCCGATGATGGCCACTCCGCCGCATCGCAATTCGCCTTTCGGCGCAGCTTCTTCCGATGCACGCCGCGTTCGGAGGCTCCCGGGCCGGTTCTCCTTCGTGTAGCTCCACTCTCTTAAAGCTTCTTTCGCGCATTTGCAGAGGCCTCACAGATCCATCAGGCGCGGCCCGGCCCGGCCCCGTTAATCAGTTTCTTAAAACAGCTCCATTCTGTGCTGTTTTTGGGTTCGCAGGAGAAGCGTGTGGTGGTGCAGGCACGTGGTCTAGCAGTGGCCTTGCGTGGCTCGCAGCAGCGGACGGCCAGACGCTGAGAGGTAGCAGCTCCGTCAATGTTGGGACGGGATAGTCTCGTTGTCATGGCTTTGCATCGTGTTTGTGTTGACTGCTTGTTCGTAGATTCACTGGCATGAAACGTGGGCGGTACTTCTCTGCTGTGCTTTCATCCATGTTGTTATGACATTGCAGAGCTGAATCGTCCGCGAGTGCAGTTCGACACTTGCAATGTTGCAGCTGTCGCTCCGAGAAGATCTTGAAAGAGTCCGAAGATCGCCGGACGGTGACTTTTGCAACCAGATTCTAGTGTCGTTTTTCGCAGACTGTGTGAGCATCATGCAGTCTACAAGCTTTTCTCCCTCAAGTATGCAAGTACTCGTCGGACCATGACCAGGACTCAGCCTAGTCCTGATCTCGAGCTGTTGGTGCTTTCGCCGGGAGAGCTTGCGGCAAGTTGAATGCCCCCGCGGCCTTCGAGCACTCCTTAAATATGCAAGGAGTTGAGAAGCCCCCGTGGTCCTGAACTCCTGGGACAGCTCGAACATACTCCAAGAAATACTCCAAGAACTCCTAGAAGCTCCGATCTAAATGTCGAGGCGGAGGGCCTTCTTATCGGCCTGGTCCAGAATCGCCTGGTCCTGGAGTTCATGCCTCGCCACGGTGGGAAGGCCGAGGGAGGCTTCTTGACCCGCCATGGACGCCTTGGCTGCGCTGTCTTGCTGTGAGGTTCGGCACAAAGTCCCTCTGCTCGACACATCGGCCCATGGCTCGGGTGGCTCGGGAAGGAAGGAGGGAGTGGTCCGTACTGCTCGCTCGTTGCAGCCCTTCTTGCCGGGTGAGCCTCCTGCCGGCCCCCATGCTGCTGCCAGCCTCCCAGCGCCGGAGCCGGAGCGGGAGCGCGACGCGGGGTGGTTCGCCTCAGTGCCTCGTAGTCCTAGGCCTTGGCTCCCAGCCTCTTGGCGAGAGTCCTGGACCACTGCCCCGGGACCTGGACCCGAGACTCGGGCGAGCGCCTCGGCTCGGAGCTTCGACCCGACCGAGGCGTCCCTGGGCGCAGCAGCTGCGAGGAGGTCATCGCATGACTCTCAGAATCTGAGACGGAACAAGAGGAGCCTCAGGCCTTAGGCCCTAGGCGATATGAGGCGAGAGGCCTCTAGCAGCCGCAGTCAGGTTTGTGCAGCTCCTCCGCAAGGCCTTCGCAAGGAGCTCAGATCTGGAGGTCGCTTTCCTGAATCAGACTATCTGAATCTCCTGGTCTACCGTGTGCAGCTTGCTTTCGGCTGGAGACTGCTTACAGACGAAGCGCACAGGAGAAAGCAGCAGATCTCGTGAGAAACTACGCGATGACAAGTCACCATTGCATTGGAGTGGATTGGCACATCTACTGCTGTTGTACTGGCAGCCACGATGTGAGATGACATGAGTCTTAGCGATTATTGTGCACTCGCGGCTTTGAGCCTTTGCGTTCTTTGTTGCCTGCGGGCCGAATCTTCCTCGCGCACGACAGCCCTGGCCTCCTGGCCTGATCAGAAAAAACTACAATGTCGAGCCTACGTCTTGTTGCCATGCGGCAGCTGCTGCTTCTGGTGCTGCAAAGCGCTCTGGGCAGCGAGCTCCCAGCCCTGAAGATGTCCACATTCGATGCAGAAATCATGGATATCCTTTGGCTTGGGCCGGACCGCAAGAAGGTCTTGCTGAACACTAAGCAAGGCCAGGATATTTTCAGAAAGAGTCAACGCGGTCCAAGGGCATGGGCCAAGCCGAAAGACCTTGAGTAACGCGCACGAAGCCAGGCATCCAGGATCATCACAATCGTCGTCATAATCCTCATCCTCATGCTCATCCTCATCACCATCACCATCAACATCATCATAAGCATCCTCACCCTCATCATCATCAGCATCGCCATCACCATCTCCACCATCATCATAATCATAATCATCATCATCATCATCATCGTCATCATCATCACCATTATCACCATCACCATCACCATCATCATCAGGATCGTCATCATCATCATCATCGTCATCGTCACCGTCACCGTCACCGTCACCATCACCACCATCACCATCATCATGATGATGATGATGATGATCATCATCATCACGATCATGACGATCATCACGATCATCACGATCATCACCACCATCACATCATCGTCGTCATCATCATCACCTCCAGTATCATCGCCGTCATCGAGTGACAACAACTGTGTCAGCATTGACTTTCAGCCGAGAGTTTCAAGCTCACGACATTTGACGCTTTCTGACGGGACTCTTGGCAGGCACCGTCTACCAGAGCCTCGAAGACGGCCGAGACTGGGAGAAGACGTCGGTGAGCTCCATGTCCAAGGTGGCAAGACTCATCATGAGTTCTGCAGATCCCTCCACTGTGTCCGGGCTGCAGCGCATACACGACGGGCATGACTATTCTGACAACGGGATTGCAAAAATTCGACGGACATGTGCGACCGAATCACGAAATGCCACTTGCGTAGTTGTTGCGTATAACACACTGACAGACGGACGGACGGACGGACAGACAGACAGACAGACAAGGATAGAGACCGAGACAGACGGACAGACAGACAGACAGACAGACAGACAGACAGACAAGGATAGAGACAGAGACAGA